TGATCATAATGACCACTTCTGACCTCAAAATCTATTGAAAACCCACAATTCCAATTGGCACTCCTTCCCACCCATGTTTGCAGAGAGGCCAAGGACTGAATATACACAAACTACCCTCTCGTCTTCATAAGCGTTAGGGTTGCTACAGCAAGTCCATGAGATGGTTGAGAAAAACTTGAACCACGTGTACCTATGCTTTAGTTGCCTTGTGGATAGCAGAAGCCTTTATCTCTAGAGCTGGCTGTGTGGTAACTTCCCCAAGAAATGCACTCACTGAACATGGTAAAAAACCCACAACTTTTCATCCTTCCTCCTTTTCATTGGGTGTTACGTTCCTGTTGACCATTTTCAGGATTAAAGTATCTTCCTGAATGGGCCTCTGGACTCGTGACTGCCACCAACTTTTCTGAACCACCCTCTGCAGCTCCTGCATCTGGTGCTAGTCACGTAAGTGGCAAAACAAGTAGGGGAAAAGACACTGATGGAGTCCAGTGGCTCCCAAAGGAACAGCTGTCCAGATCATGGTACAATGGGTTTGCCTAGTGAGTGGGGGCTCTGTCCTGCAAGTCCCTGAGGCACAGATCCTCAAAGGTATCTAGGGTCCTAACTTCCACTGAATTGACCCTAACCCAGAATTGTCAGAGAGCTACTGTATAACTGTGCACAGTGCATCAAAGGGACACACTGACAGGGCCGGCTCTAGGCACCAGCGTTCCAAGCATGTGCTTGGGGCGGCACTTTTCAAGGGGCGGCACTCTGGTTTTGTTTTGCTTCTGCGGCGGCACTCTGCCCCCCCCCCTTTTTGTGTGTGCTTGGGATGGCAAAAAACCTGGATCCGGCCCTGCACACTGATTTCAGTGGAAGTTAGGAGCCAAAATACCTAAACTGAGGATCAGGGCCTGAGTATCCAGTGATTTCAATGGGAGTGGGTCAAGCCTTATGTCTCAAAGTAAATCTGTGGAATCTGGAAAGAATGTAGCTAGAAGAACTTTAGATTTCCTTCATTATTCTTCTTGCCTCTGTGTATGTGTGTGTGTGAATGTGTTCATTCTTCACTATGGCAAAAGCCTACCTAGTTCAGCTGTATTCATGACTTTCATTTTGTAATCACTCTATCGGACTTCCTAAATTGCCTTATCCTGTAGTTAAGCCCTAACCCACTCAAATCAGGCTACATTCTGAAATAAGTGTTTGATCTCTTTGAATGCTAAATAACCGTAAAGGGTTCTGTGTGCCCAGACCTGGCTGAACCAGCATGTAGGTGTTGTCAGCAAAAGATACCAAACTTCCAAGAGATACTGGTGAATATAGATAACCATCCAATCAAGGGGCTTAATAATTGTATCCAAACTAATTCAGTAGGGGCTGATTGGATTATTATGGATGCCACATAAGGGAAGCAACAGTTCTCCCTTTCCCCCAATGTCTCCAAGTGCTGCAGGAGAAAATCTTCTCAGAACAGGTGTTTGATGTATATCCTGGCTTGTCTTAGAAAATGAAATCTTGTCAGCCAGGGGTCAACCCTGCCTCTCCACATCTGGGAGTGTATACAGGCCAAACCATTCTGAAAACTCTATAGGAAGCATGCTTGAAAGGGGAGAGTGACAGCTTGAAAACTTTTCTTTCAGTGGCATCAACCTGGTTGTCAATATGCCTCACTTTAGCATCTGGTTTAGTTTATTGTGCAGACATCCTCTGAAGTCTACTCTAATTCCTGAAAGGCAATTGATCTAGCTTTGGGGTTACCGCTCCCACCCCCAGAGGTGGTAGTTTCCTGGCTCGCTGCGGAGTTTTTCTCTCTTGTGGTTTCAGAGTAGCAGCCGTGTTAGGTTGTATCCGCAAAAAGAACAGGAGTACTTGTGGCACCTTCCCCCGAGCATACTCAAATAAATTTGTTAGTCTCTAAGGTGCCACAAGTACTCCTGTTCGTCTCTCTTGTGGGTTCAGCAAGGCAGCACTAGCCAAACGTTCAGTAGAATCCTGACATGTGGTGCAAAGAAGTTTTATCACTATCGCAGCATTATTACATATTTTCTACTGGTTTTAAGCCCTGAGTGTCTGAGGTCGTCTCTTTGCAGGCTTTGGTCAATAAGTTGTCTAGGCCAGTTGAATTTTAAAGATGATGAGCTTTTTGCCCAGTTGGGCCCTAAGGCAGTGGCATCGTTAGGGAGTTTTGCTCTATTCTGTCTGGCTCTGAATGGTGCAGTTTTACCCGAGTTTTTACACAAGATTTTCATGGCAAACACTGTAAGGATTTAAGAGCCTATTGTGAGTTAGTTTGTGTACTAGTACTGATCAAGGTGTGTGTGAGTGTGTCATATATATGTATATAGTGTGTGTTTATATACACACCCACACACATGTATAATCACTCTCTATAGATAGATATAACATGCACTATTATATACATTGTGTGTGCATATAATTCTTACATGTGCTGATCTGCTTGCAGAATGTTACAAGTGCTCTGTTTTGTTGGTATTTAAACTCTCGTACCTTGTCTACCAGGAAAATTAGTACCCACTTTTCAGCAATAGGAGAGCTGCACTGTTGCTACTGAAAGTGTAATAGCATACCATGGCAGGTTGTCATCACACACTAGTAAAAACACCAGAGCACTACCGGTACTGCAGCCTCCATTTTTACAACCCCTCGTGGGAAATTACCGGTCCCAGTTTTCCCCATTGTAGTCAAGGCTCTAGGCAGGACCAAACCATTTTTCACACCATTACACAAAAAGTGACTGAGAGCTGGTGGAACACAGAATACTCCATGACTGAGTTTGTTTTTTGATGAATTATTACCCAATAAAGAAAGGCAGGATTTCATATAGTGCTGATTTATTATTGGTAAGCTCTATATTGCACTCCAAATAGAGTAGTGTACAGAAAACCAATCCTTTACATACAGAAAGCCAGAAACATTAAGCTGTAGAACTAAGCTTTGCATTTAGAGGGGATGAAAATCGGTTAACTTTTACATTTAGCTGTAAATTTCCTTAACAGACAGTTTGGTGCTTTTCTAATCTTCTCTCCCAAATAGCACATAACAAGTGAATCAAATAACGAAGAGACCATGGCAGACGGGTACTTGCATAACGTTTGTACGCAAAAGCCATTCTAGCCCCATTCTACATACAACTCCCATTGACATTGTACGGAATGTGGAAATTGTTAGAACCATCAGAAGGTCAAAAACTATTGTAAATTCATTGACAAGGTCAGTGTGAGAGAAAATAACGATGTGAAAATCATTACTAAGTGTATGCCACCAACAGCGTGCTTAATAGCCAAGTAGGAGACAAAGTCCAAAGAGCTTGCAGTGTAAGGCTCTCATCCTGCAAAGATTGCCACACATGCTTAACTTGAGTAGGCCTACTGACTTCTGTGTGAGTGTGAGTAGTCCTACTGACTTCTGTGTGAGTGTGAGTAGTCCTACTGACTTCTGTGTGAGTGTGAGTAGTCCTACTGACTTCTGTGTGAGTGTGAGTAGTCCTACTGACTTCTGTGTGAGTGTGGGTAGTCCTACTGACTTCTGTGTGAGTGTGGGTAGTCCTACTGACTTCTGTGTGAGTGTGGGTAGTCCTACTGACTTCTGTGTGAGTGTGAGTAGTCCTACTGACTTCTGTGTGAGTGTGAGTAGGCCTACTGACTTCTGTGTGAGTGTGAGTAGGCCTACTGACTTCTGTGTGAGTGTGGGTAGTCCTACTGACTTCTGTGTGAGTGTGGGTAGTCCTACTGACTTCTGTGGTGTCTACTCAAGTGCATAAAGTTAAGCATGTGCATAGCCTTTGCAGGATGAAGCTTTAGGCACTGTATAGGTGTGGGAGAGGGGTGGAAAAGGAATGCAACTGAAAAGTTAAATGTACTATTAGTTTCACAATTTGATTTATTTTCTTTTCTTTTCACTGCGGGAAGGACTGAGATTCTCTGGGATAAGATTGTGTTAAATTAGTGATTCCAGTAGGAATATTTATTTAGGCTACAATGTACTATGTTAACTTTATAGTTATAATCACCATAACAATATCTGTAACCATACAAAATAGAGTGGAATCCCCCCCACCCCCCAACAAACAGGAAAGTTGTGAATTCATCTTTTCCATTTTTTTTTATTCTAAATTTTTAAAAATTTCTTCAAAATGTTGAAACGAGGAAGAAAAAACCCCCTACCTCTAATGCAAGGAACTTGAAAAAAAGGTGTTTGAATTTATTTATACTATAGATTAATCATGCAGATGCTGCTCAATGCTAAATGGACATGGAGAGTTAACCTGATACCTAGAAGCTTGTGGCTTTCACAGGCTTGCTTGTTTAATGCACTCTAATGTGTTTATTAGCTGTAAATTTACTAAAATTCGTGAAGGAAAAGTGAGTTTCTTTCTGAGGGCCAGATTCACTGCTCTGCTGGCATAAACGGATGCAACTCCATTGAAACAAATTAGAAGGGCCTTGCTTACACCATCACTGAATTTGGTCCTGAGGTAACTAGTAAGAAATCATGAGGAATACTTAGTTCTTTTGGGAGAAAATGAATGGGAGCTTCTCGAAAAGATCACAGGTAAAATACAGCCCAAAATTAGACATCCCACTCAGACAGCCTTCCTCTTTCCACCCTGTCTCAGTCATCTGGACTCTTGCTAAATTATTCCTGTGACAAAATTGGAACTGCTCTGTCATGATTTATGAACAGTGAGTGTTGACCTGGCTTTTGGGAATATATTGGTTTAGTTTAGTAGGGGGCTATAAAGAAAACAAGCAGGAAGGGAAGAAGATTGGCTCAGGATAAGCCACTTCATCTCATCTCCTAGAACTGGAAGGGACCTTGAAAGGTCATCGAGTCCAGCCCCCTGCCTTCACTAGCAGGACCAAGTACTGATTTTGCCCCAGATCCCCAAATGGCCCCCTAAAGGATTGAACTCACAACCCTGGGTTTAGCAGGCCAATGCTCAAACCACTGAGCAATCCCTCCCCCCACTTCTCAGCAATCCCTCCCCCCACTTCTCAGCAAACACTTGAGTGCTGTTCAGTGGGCAATGCCCATACTCTTATAGCATCAATATTTTACCTCCTCCCAAGCCAACCTGCAAAACTAGTTTTGTCCAAAGGGACAAAGGCCAAGAATGCGAGAACAAAGCAACTCTGAAAGTTTAGGAAGGGGTGCTCTCTGCAGAGAGACAAGTCATTGTTTGGGGGAACCAGACTAGGATGCAGGCATTGGCTGGATTGTCTGAAGAAATTAGGCCTGACTAGGTGACCCTGAGGGGATGGTAAGCCTTTGGGGACGATGGACAGGTGTGGACTGTTTGTTGTCCTAAAATGCTTTTTCTCTACATGCTTTGTTACTATAAGTAAAATGAACAATACTCCGGTTTCAATAAGGCAGCTTTGTCACTATACACCATCGGCCACAGGCTCCTGAAGGGAAGAACCATAAGTGTGGAACCCAGTCAGACCTGCTGGGTAAGCATGGTTGATTCCCAGGGTACTGAAGCCCAGGTCCCAGTCCGAGTGGGAGAACTGTAGAATTCCACCCTGGGATAGGTAAAGACATGAGGCCTGACACTTGAGGGGGTGCATTCAGAGAGACCAAAAAGGGAACAGGGTGCAGCTGCCCTCCAGCCATGACCATTACAATGGTGATTGACCCCTAAGCTCTTTTGTATGTGTGTGTTTTCTCATATGAAGGGTCACATTCACTGCTGATAGTGCAGCTCCACTGAAGTTAATGAACCTCTACATGTTTACGCCAGTGGTGAACTTGATTTCAAATGCAGCTTTGCTACACTGCTACAGAGGATTTCCGCAGCTGAATCTGATAATGGCAGTGGCCCATTCTAAACTGGTAATTGCTGTAGTTAACCAATTTTCACCACACTCCAAGCAAAGTTTTTAGTTAAAGGTAGCCCCTGTTTTAATTCTGAACTTCATCCAGTACAGGTTTAGTAAATGACCCTTGATCAAGTCTTAATAAGCAATGCAAAGTAGCTTAGCCTGAACACTATTATATGTGCTCAGCAAGTTACTGTATATAGGCATGATTGCTAAAAGTAATGATTTTCCACACAGTTCCCACTGCAATCTAATATTGCAATACAGATTGAACAAACATCTAGAATTTTAAATTGACCGATATGTACAAAATTATATGGTACAAGGTTATTATAAAACATAATTCAGAAATAAAGCTCTGATTTCTTAACACAAAATACTGCAGGTTCCCGGTTTTAAAGCACAAATTGCATAACTATCTTTTAAACTGAAACAGACTCTAAAACTTGAGTCCAAGTGCCTTTGAGTGCATGCAGCAGGCAATAAATATTCAGAACCAGAGATTTGCCAAATAATATTAGTTTTAAATATTATGAATGGATCACCCTAGAAAAATCTCTTTCTGTTTCTTTAACAAAATAGATACTCTAGGCCCCAAACCTGCAAAGACTTATGCATGTGTCTAACTTTATGCATGTCAGAAGTTCCACTGAACTCCATAGGACTATTCACATGCTTAAAGTTAATGTGTGTTTAAGTCTTTGCAGGATCCAGGCCTTAGGAGTTGTGTATATGGAGAGTTAGTGAACAGCAAGCTGGAGTGCAGTGCCCCAGCCTGTCACGTGCACTAACAGGCAGTATGGACCCTCCGAATGCCCACTAGAAGTTCGGTAGTGCACTTTGATCTACTCCCATTTGAAATACGTAGAATACTGCCCCAAACTGAAACTGGAGTAGATCAAAGTGCACCGTAAAACTTCTAGTGTGTGGTACCAGGGTCCACATGACCAGTTAGTGTGCAGAAGGCCAGTGCACTATACATTTGAACTTCAACTTGACACAAACTAACTCTCCATATAGACAAGTCCTTAGTGTTCAAACAGCCAGCTGTTCACTACAATACATTTTCCTTTAATAGATATCCCCTGTCTAAAACGATAGCAAGGGAAAGTATGTTAATCTGAATTGGGTCTTTTATTTGGTCCAACATCAGTTCCAATTGTTGGTGGGGCACTAGAATGGGAAGTAACCGATTTCCAATCAGATGCTGATGACAGTGCCTAATTTTACCCATAATTCAGTTTTGGAGGCACTGCTGTCTTTAAAATGACTCATGGGGTAAAATGCTGCATTCATTACCCAGGCCATGGCCTCATTGTCTTCAGTAAGAGTTTGGCCTAGGAAGGGACTGCAGGATTTGACCCCAAATGAAGTTTATCAGAGGCCTATTCCTATCAGCCCTTGACACATGGAACTCCCATCAGCTTCCACAGAAGTTCTGGGCATGGAGCATTTTCAGCATCAGACCTTGGCAGCATTCACATAAGGCACATTCTGAAGGTGCTTAAGTCTCTTGCATCTGGCGGTTATTTGCTGGATACACAGAATCCCCAAGGAAGGATTAGTGAAAGACCATTTTAGAAGAAACTTTACATCCCAAGATATTACTACAAACATGATCAGTAATGGAATTTCAACACTGTGAAACGTGCTTCCTAGAGAATGGCAGCATTATATGGATTTGTCAGCGTTTCACTGACTCCTCGTTATTTATTCTTCTGCTTTGTTGTGACACCTGCGAGAGAAAATATGAAACAATTACAACAGCAAAAAAGTTGTGGTCAGGTGTGTGTGTGTGTGTGTGTGTGTGTGCATGCACGTATCGCGTACATGATGTACTAGTTGGAAAAATTGGTTTTAAATCCATCAAATAACCAGGTGCCCCAATGCACTTAAAAAAAAAAAGGAGAGAGAGGAAGAACAAAAAAAATGGTAAAACTATTAATGTATGTACTCTATAAAAACTCTATTTCATTCATGCACTGAGATTCTAACTTTGTTTGAAGAGTTTAACCATCTTCTTTGTTCTGGAACTGGTCACTGCTAATAATTCAGCACAGTACTTTAACCAATAAATGTCATGTTCTCCATGCTGAATGTTGGAATATATTAGGTTTTCAGCTGTATGCTAGTTAGACACAACTAGCTTAGGGACTAATATTGCTTCCTCTGCAGGAGCTGGCAGTTTTGCCATTGACTTGGGCACTGATCCCACAAGTAAATCTGAGAAGACAGACGTCCCACTGCTTTCACACAGAGCTGCATGCAGGCATAGGGTTCTTCTAGCATAGAATAACTTGTATAGATGGGATTGTGAATGGAGCAGAGTGGGGCCTTTGGTTTTAGCACAGTGATGGCGAAAGACATTTAGCATGGACTTAACTGAATCGTCCCAGTGTGTCAATTTCCAGAAATAAATTTCCAGAAAGAAAACACCAAAATTCCAATGTCGAGGTGAGTAGTACCATTGAAGACAATGAGGTTACTCATGTGAGTTAGGCACTTCAGGAAGTGTTTGCAGGATTGGAGCTTTCATCTGTAAATGTTAAGATGCTGTCTAGCTCATTGACCAAACAAAACCTCCTCCAGGTCTCATGCATATTTTACAAATATGGACACCATGGCTAAAGATGTACACATCCACAAGAGTGAATAATTAGATTCTATAAAAAGCAACAGAGGGTCCTGTGGCACCTTTAAGACTAACAGAAATATTGGGAGCATGTTAGTCTTAAAGGTGCCACAGGACCCTCTGTTGCTTTTTACAGATTCAGACTAACACGGCTACCCCTCTGATACTTGACACCAATTAGATTCTAGTGGCAGATGAGAAAATTTAAGATCATAAGAAGCACTGAATCTGTTGTAGAAGACAAGATGGGTTGTTAGCCCCCTAGAATTAGAAAACAAAAATGACCCAACATGAGTTATCCTAATTTTTTTTTAAAACTGAAGAAATACAGTCCTTATGGAAAAAAGAGCAGGTCAAGGTGTATATGTAGCAGATAACATATAGTGTATGGGACTATTTTTTTTTTTACTTTTATTTGTAACCCTTGATAAATTGAAATCTACTTCCTCCCTGATTTATTTTCTTTTTCCCTCCTCCCTTTTGTGACTACACTGCTTTGTTCAAACAGAAACAAGTACCACGCACAGGCACTCATCTTTTACTCTTTGAAGAACAAAACTGTACTTTTGGGGGCGAGTAGCATCATTTGGCCTTTACGAACAGCTATTGCAATAAAATTGGGGTTAATGCAGGAATCAGATTCTATGGCTGGTGATATGCAGGTGGTCAGCCTAGATGATCATAATAGTCCCTTTTGGCCTTAAAATACTGTGGTTCTGTGAAACAAGGTAAATTTGAGCACATCAAAGCCTGTCTTTATTCTACTGCTGTTGCAGATGCACAGCATGGTAAAAACTGGGAGCGGTTCAGCTCTGATCTTCCAACTGGATTTGGGCAGGGGGGAGCTTGTGCCACACTGAGCTGCTTCTAAAAAACGACCATGTCCCAAATGAAAATCAGTTCCCCTGATTCCACGCAAATTGTGCTTCCTTGCCTTACAAAATCAAAGGCTGTATTTCGGTAGAAAGGAAGGGGGATGGAAATCCAGCTACTTTTTCTCCAGAAGGTGACGATGACTAATAGCACAACTCATCTCCTAGTTTTACTGGGTTTGTTCCCACTCTCTTTTAGAGGGAACGTTCATTGCCTAGTGAAGTAACAGTGCTGCTGCTTGTACTGAAAGGTGGGAAGCATGAATCGGATTTACAGACAGACTGGTGAGGAAAAAGCTGCAGCTAGGGGCTGTAGGGCAACAGAAGTAAAGGGCTTTTCTCATCTACTCCTCTTTAAGTCACACAAGCAAATAACTGTTAAGACACCGGATAAAGAAGGAAAGGAAAGAATTTCAGAGTTAGGGGTTCACTGTAGCATGTTCATCCAATACTTGACCACCAGAGGGCACTAACAGACAGACATGAAGATGGGACCGTATCGTAGCTAGAATTTTGGGACACCCTCAGCTGTGAATTGCCTTTACTTTTACTGCTTTCTTTCAGGACATTTACAGCGCTTACAGGGCTTGATCCAAAGCCCACTGAAGTCAGTGGAAAGACTCATTGATTTTCAACCAATTTTGGATCCGACCCTTAATATAAATTCTTGTGTGTGGCTTTCTTGTGTATTCCAAGGCCAGTCCAAAAAACCTGGATGTGTCTCAGGTCTTGTCTGAGAAGCAGGGCCGGCTCCAGGCACCAGCTTAACAAGCAGGTGCTTGGAGCGGCCAAGGGAGAGGGGCGGCACCTGCGGCAATTCGGGGGCGGCAGGTCCCTCACTCCCTCTAGGAGTGAAGGACCTGCCGCTGAACTGCCGCCACCGATCACGGTTTTTTTTTTTTTTTTTTT